ACGGTAATGTTACTTCCCTCCCTCCGACACCAGACCCAACGGTAGTGTTACTTCACCCCCTCCGAGAAACGGCAACACTGTCATGTTACTTCACAACCTCCGACACCCCTCCGACACACGGCAACACTGTCACGTTACTTCAACCACTCCGACCGACGCCAGACCACACTGTCATGTTGCTACCCTCCCTCCGACACCAGACACTTCGATCATGTTACTTCGCTCCCTCCGACACCAGACCACACTGTCATGTTACCTCACCCCGTCCGACACAGACCTAATGGCCTTGTTACCTCACCCTCTCCGACGCCAGACCCCACTATCATGTTAATTCACCCTCTCCGACACCAGACACCACTGTCATGTTACCTCACCCCTCCGACACAGACCTAACGGCCATGTTACTTCACCCCCTCCGACATACGATTTATATAAGAATGACAGTGATGTTTGGTTGAAACAGGGGTAAGTGTTTTAAGTTGGTGAACGTCTCTGACATCCATTGATAAAATGTCTTCAAAGTATTTGACACAACACGTGTGATTAGAAATGTGTGTGTGTGNCCACACGGTCAGCTTCATCAATATTTAGTTATATACAGTATACCAATACACAAACTTGTATGGATACATTTAAAACTTGAAACCTGCGGGGTTCTTGTATTTAAAGTCGTTGAACCATTTTGTCTACACACCTTTAGTGTTGATCAAATTCTATAGAGGACGAAACTAAAAGATAAAATCTAAAATGGCATTGAAATGTATAGGATAACATAGCTACCTATGGAAAATCTGTGGGTGTGAGAGGGGTATATAAAGGACCTGCGCGCCAAGCACCATATCACACCGATCTCTCCTGTAAACATGAAGACCTGCCTTATCCTCCTCGGCCTTGTAGCAGCCTTTGTGGCTGTTGACTGCGGCGTAATTGCTGAAACTAAACGGCAGCAGCAGGTGTCTGAAGTCAACATTATTGATGTTATGGTTCACATAACTGGACGTAAGTAACTTTTTACAAAATATTTAAGATATTTCAGCTATTTATTTCAGTGATATATATATAGTATATGATTTCAAATAGGATGCTTTCAATATAGATCAGATTATTTCTTCTAAATCACATACTGCATCTATCACTTTACACACTATTTCAATGCTAAATTGTATATATATATTGTTATATTTACATTTGCATGGCATTGTCACTATATAGCCTCTTTGAGAGCTGTGTCGTTGATGGGACTTTAATTACCATGCCGCACGAGACATAATTACCATGCCGCACGAGACACAATTCTTAGCGTATTAATTACAACACTGACCGGAACTACAATATCCAATGTAAATAAACATGACGGCTGCTGAAATATCGCTGGGCATTGTGAGATTTGATAATGTCATTGTAAATTTATGTGCAAAATAAAAAATAAAATAAAAAACACTTTTATTACAACGAAAACAAGACCAAGGTCTGCAATATCGTACAAAATGCACATCGGTTGAAATCACCAATGCCGGCAATGGAAACAATTTTAACGCTCATGCAATTTATCAGAAATATCGTCTGTTACACTGCACTGATCAACAGGGGTTCGTTATAAATGTCTGAAATACACATATTCTATAGACCTACTGACACATATGTTACAGACCTACTGATATGAGTCACAGCACACATAAACATTCGTCATTTCAGACATTTGTAACGAACCTGTGCTCCGTCGCAAGATCACTCACTTCAAACGCTATCAGTTTCACGCGTCTCGGATCCACGGTTCCTCAGTTTCAGACGACATGTCAAATAACGATGCTGTTATAGAATCTACCGACTGTTGTCGGGTTCCCATACAATCAACAAATACATTCACGCCTGGATTCTTCACAAAATGAGCAAAGAGAAAAGTTCGAATTAACTTCCAAAAATAACTCCCTCGTGGAGGTCAAGGTCCCATTCACGGTGTTCACTGTATTTATCCATGCGCGAAATTTGTTCCGGGGGAAAATCGAAACAATTTCAAATCTAACTTTCAGCTCAGATTTCTATTGAAAAACTGGAATCACCCTATAGACATATCATACGCAATTGTATTGATACTAAATTGTGGAATAAATTTGAAGTGTTTGTTAAAATGTCAAAGTACTACTTTGTTTGCCAATCAGCACGCGACAATACGCTGTTCAAACTATTGAACGAAATTGTGTGGACTGTCGATAAGGCGGGCATTTTTAATTTTAATTATAAATTATAAGTTAAAAAAGAACATAAGAGGCAGAGAAAACGTCAATATAAGTATTGTACTGTTTTTGTANTTTGAATGACACAGCTTTGCAAGCAAACAACATAATGCGTGCTAATTAAGCCTTATTTTTAATTTTTGACAAATTTAACTCAACAAAAAATGCTTTATGATTAATTTGACGTGATCAAATTATATAATTCTGTTATTCTTTATTAAATCTATTCATCAACTTCTTTATATATCTTTTTGAACGTTTGAAGACTTTCAGTTCACAAAACGAGAATTAATGTAAACAACCAAACATGTTATAGGTTTCTGAGATCTAGACATAATGGGCTGTTTTCTGTGACAAGCCATACACTAAGATGGGTTTCTGTGATCTAGACATAATGGGATGTTTTCTGTTACAAGAATACACTAAGATGGGTTTCTGTAATCTTGACATAATGGGATGTTTTCTGTCACAAGACATAAACTAAAATGAGTTTCTGTAATCTAGACAATCTAGTTTCTGTGATCTAGGCAAATTGGGGTGTTTTCTGTAGCAAGACATACACTAAGAGATATTTCCATGATCTAGACACATTGTTTTTTTTCCTGTAACAAGACATACACAAAGATGGGTTTCTGTGATCTAGGCACATTGGGTTGTTTTCTGTAACAAGACATACACTAAGATGGTTTTCTGTAATAAGACATACACTAAGATGAGTTTATGTATTCTAGACATATTGGGATGTTTTCTGTAAAAAGACATACACTAAGATGGATTTCCGTGATCTAGACACATGGTTTGATTCTGTTACAAGATATACGCTAAGATGGGTTTCTGTGATCTAGACAGATTGGGGAGTTTTCTGTAACAAGACATACACTAAAATGTGATTCTATGATCTAGACACACAGGGGATGTTTTCTGTAACAAGACATACACTAAGATGGATTTCCGTTATCTAGACACATTGGTTTTTTTCCTGTAACAAGACATACACTAAGATGGTTTTCTGTAATAAGACATACACAAGATGAGTTTATGTATTCTAGACATATTGGGATGTTTTCTGTAGCAAGACATACACTAAGATGGGTTTCCGTGATCTAGATATATTGGGATGTTTTCTGTAACACGATACACCCTAAGATGAGTTTATGTGATCTAGACATATTGGGGTGTTGTCTGTAACAAGACATACACAAAGATTGGTTTATGTGATCTAGGCACATTGGGGTGTTTTCTGTAACAAGACATACACAAAGATGGGTTTATGTGATCTAGGCACATCTGGGTGTTTCCTGTAACAAGACATGCACTAAGATGGTTTTCTGTAATAAGACATACACTAAGATGAGTTAATGTATTCTAGACATATAGGGATGTTTTCTGTAGCAAGACATACACTAAGATGGGTTTCCGTGATCTAGATATATTAGGATGTTTTCTGTAGCAAAACATAGACTAAGATGGATTTCCGTGATCTAGGCACATTGGGATGTTTTCTGTAACACGATACACCCTAAGATGAATTTATGTGATCTTGACATATTGGGGTGTTGTCTGTAACAAGACATACACAAAGATTGGTTTATTTGATCTAGGCACATTGGGGTGTTTTCTGTAACAAGACATACACTAAGATGGATTTCCGTGATCTAGACACATTGGGATGTTTTCTGTAACACGATACACCCTAAGTTGAGTTTATGTGATCTAGACATATTGGGGTGTTGTCTGTAACAAGACATACACAAAGATTGGTTTATGTGATCTAGGCACATTGGGGTGTTTTCTGTAACAAGACATACACTAAGATGGGTTTCTGTGATCTAGACACATTGGGGTGTTTTTTTGTAACAAGACATACACTAAAATGGGCTTCTGTGATCTAGACAATGTTTTTGTTTTTGTAATAAGACATACTCTAAGATGGGTTTCTATGATCTAGGCACATTGGGGTGTTTTCTGTAACAAGACATACACTAAGATGGGTTTCTGTGATCTAGACACATTGGGGTGTTTTTTTGTAACAAGACATACACTAAAATGGGCTTCTGTGATCTAGACAATGTTTTTGTTTTTGTAATAAGACATACTCTAAGATGGGTTTCTATGATCTAGACACATTGGGGTGTTTTCTGTAACAAGACATACACTAAGATGG